CACAGCCATCACATCGTTGAGATGAATCAATTTACCAACATCTGTCGAAAGGAATTTGTCTTTTCACTACAGAAAATTTGTGTCGCATTTTAATCAACTGAGCTATTTATTTCTTTTTTCTTTCAGGTGAATATTTTTCACTCGTCTCATTCACACAGACAGTTTTCTGTAGTTGGCAGGATATTTGTGAAGGGGCAGTAAAATGTTGACCATAGAGGAGGAGAAAGAAAATTTCCTCTGGCCGTTATGATAAATTAAAAATCGATTGTGTTTTTTATCAACAGGAAAAGAAAGAAAAAAGAACAGATGTCTATTTCCACTGTCTTTATTATTATTATTATTACTATTATTATTATTGCCTATTCAACATTTCTGCAGTCTAAGTAAAACACGGATAGTGATACTTATAATACCCATGATAATAATAATAATAATAACAATAATAATAGTAGCAATAGAGATGACAATATTGACTGGTTATAGCACTAGTTTATAATTCTCACAGAGAATTCAACTACTAACTGACAATTGCTACTAGTCTAACTACGCTTAATGGGGTTTTCACACATCACTGCTTCATTTCAAAGTGAAACAGAGGGCAATTTATAATCGAACCTGTCTGCTACTGCGTACTATTAAATACGCAAGATATGTACATAAAGTGGAAAAAGATAAGGAGAAGTGTATTTTAACTGTCTATAGATACAGACTGGATGTCTGTCTATTTATTCAGTATACACAACGTCAATTCAAACTAGCTAAAGTTCCTATCTAGCTCTATATATAGTACGTCACAGAAGTTATTTTACACCTATGATCTTATCATATGCGACATTTGGATTTCGTTTTATCTTATTGATTTATTCCTTTGCGCTCCAAAGGAAGTATTACCGGGCTTATTCCTACCTCAGTGGGGTTAAGGAGTGTGCGTCAGCAGGGAGTTAAACCCACGTAAGGCGGGGTTTGCGATCATTTCACCACTGAACCAACGACTTACTTCGTTTCTAAGAGTAATGAGTATCTACGAGTGGTAAAATATGCTGAACGATGACTTCTAGAAGATTGATTGACAATTTTCACATACTTAGTAAACTGTTATCAGTGTTTTCGTTGCAGGATACTTTGGAAAAAACAGTAGTTATCTAGAGATGGGCAGATGCGAAATAGGAGTTGAGAGTCCTGAATAATCCACGCAGCCTGTTGTTCCCTATCTACAATACATATTTAAATTCTTTATACTAATCCAAAGACCATCTAGCATTTTAAAAAGGCTGGTGACACTTCCAGTACTTAGGATTATGAAGATTCTTTCATCTAGGATGTAACAGACATCTTTGCTTCTACTGCCCACCAACATATTTATGAAAAAGTTATTAGTGGGAATAAACCCATAGTAATTTTCTTTAGAAAAGCTAAACTAAATAACTAGAGCATTCAAGGTGCGGATAAACAGTGTTGTTAAACAATACTGCTTTCAGTAATTTCGAATAAGGAACTGCTGGTCGGACACCCTATTATGTTGAAAAACCCTTTCTTGATCAGTCACAGAAGTTATCCAACACTGCGCCCCCTTAGCACTTGTGCGTTGGCGGTTCAATGGTAGAACATTCATCAGCGCGCTTGTTGCCTATCAGGTAATAAGTCCAGTAAGGAGAGGAGGCTGGGTGTGAGGCTAATAACCCCTCGCCAGCACCTCTCCGCTGAAACATCAGAACTTAAAGCTAAGAGCCTTATGTTCCACCCAGAATGCAAAGGAAAGTAAAAAAGAACAATTAAACATTGTCAATGCATGCTAACAGTTGAACATTTAGAATGCGTGTTATTCAAGACAGCGTGTCAACTTGCCGCATATATATTCAAACTCTGCGCGTAACTATGGTATTGAACTAAAGTTTTTCCTTAAAAAGAACACTTATAAATAGAAGTTTTTTTTAAATGGGTGGGACTGTAGGAAGTTTCTGTATGAGTTTTTATTGAATGCCCTGGCGTCTGTCAATAATCCGTCATTTCATGTTTGAAATTAGGAAAAATGCATGTTACATATATATATATATATATGCTGACATCAGTTTTTAATCATTTCCAGGTAAAAGTGTGTCTGTTTTGCAGTTAAGTAATAATACAACACGTATAATGTTTAAAGTAATAGAGTAATTAGTTGACCACATCTAAGCTAGTCTTGACTTTGCAGACTAAAGTTGTGCTAAGACTTCTGGAACCATACTTAAATATGCATAACTTAATGGTCCTGAGTTCGATTCGCGGTAATGTTCATAGGCGCGTACTGGTGAAGAATACTGAACTACGACGAAACAGCTGTCCAGTACTCGGTGCTGGTTTTCAATGACTCTCTAAATGAATTCAATCCGTGATCAATCTTGATATCAGTCAAATACCTGTAAATCTAATGCTCACTAGTGAGTAACTACATTATGAAGTTGCCTGTAGTTCTAGTAGGGATTTGTGTCCAGCGAGGTTCACCAATATGGGTGTGAAGACAAATACTCGCCGATGACATTAGCTGCCAGCTTATATATATTTATAGGAAATAAGCAGAAGTTAGAATCGAGGAGTAATTGGACCCCGTCTCAGTGACTGATTAGTTTACAGGCTTGCCTCGTGACCTGAAGGTTGAATCAGTCATCGATGCGTACTGTTGAAGAGTCCCTAACACGGAGAAAAACAGCTTTTCGGTACTCCCTGCATTTCTGTGGTTCCCCGACTAAAGTCAATTCGGGGTCAGACTTGAAAATCACAACTACCTAACTCAAATGGAATATTAAGCTGAGTTATTGTTCCATATATAAGGAAGCGAGAAGAGTGTCTCTAAACTCATTGAGACTACAGTTTTACCCATAGTTTGTTTAAACCAGTAAGAAGTCTAGCTAGACGATTACCATTTTAGCAGTATTATGACCAGTTTCATCCACAATCTAATGAAGTATGTTAGTTAGGTTGAGGATAAGAAAAATAAGAACATTCCTTTACAATATTACTTCCTACACCCGCCTACAGATGTATAGTTTTTTCTTCTATTATTGTATTCATGAAAATAAATTTTTTGAAATGTTATAATCCTCTTGAAATAAACAAAAATATAGGGCGGAATCTTTACTAATCTATACTTTCAATACATTTCATTTCACATACAAATCAGTAGAGTAGTTTAATTACATTGACTTTGAAATAAACATTATTTAGTAGGTGTATATTTTTTTTAAGTTTCAATAAAACTCTCAAGTTGAATACTTAATACACCGTTTTATGTATAACTTTGAGGATAAATACATAAGAAGATCCGCTACTGATAAATGAACTAATAACAAGTCAACCATCTTTACAGTGGAAAAGGCGAAAATGTCTCACAGGTCAAATTTAGATAGACAGTGGGCGTAAGTGGCATTACAGGTTGAAAAAATTAGCGTTCTAATGGATTACAGTTCGCCTATGTCAATATAACAAATATATATTTCCTGTAGTTTGGTTTGTAAGAGTTTGTTATGTTTTTACGAGTTGATCACGGACTGATATCAGTTAGAGAACCATTGAAAACCAGGGAGTACTGGACAGCTGCTGTTTCATCCTAGTTTTGGAATCATCGGCAGTACGCACCCACTGGAATTCGAACCCAGGACCTTCCGGTTACAAGGCAAGCTCGTATACCATTCAGCCACTGGGACCCGATTCAATGGCTGAATGGTATACGAGCTTGCCTTGTAACCGGAAGGTCCTGGGTTCGAATTCCAGTGGGTGCGTACTGCCGATGATTCCAAAACTAGGATGAAACAGCAGCTGTCCAGTACTCCCTGGTTTTCAATGGTTCTCTAACTGATATCGTAAAAACTAATAGATAGTAATTACCGAGAAAAAAAGAGAGAGAGCTTGAAAATGTTGGAAATTGCAACCGAAAATGTGATTAATATTCTCAGAATTTATTTGATTGATTGCGGCTAACAGTAAAATTGAGGATATGCGTTTCGCCGTATTTGGGGACTCATCATCTGTATGTACTTGCATCCCCAGTGAGGACAATGTTCCCATTGAGATTCGAACGCAGCACCCACAAATTCAAAAATCAAACTGTTATCCGATAGCTAAGTCACTGGGTTCTAATGTTTTAAACGATGTGTATAGTGTTCGAGTCCAAATGGGAACAATATCACACACTAGGCGTTCGGGAATATTCAGCTAATGAGTCTCATATAAGACGAAATGCACACCCCGAATTCACAATAAAGTAAAAGATATCACCATTATTTATGTTATTATTACTATTGGTTATTTCGGAATTCTGAGAATTTTCAGTTTGTCACTCCGATAACTAATTGTTCATTATAATGACGTAACTGGACTGTAATCCATTACAATCTTAACTTTCAATTTATCATACTCTTCAAATTCCTCTTTCCCATTCTGATTCTCATGCTTGAAAAAACAATTGACTCGTTTCGTTTCTCTTTATATTTCAAGTATTCAGGTGTCAACCAATCTTTGGTGATTGAAGGCAATTGTTAGGAAGCCCTGAACCCGGCTGGATTTCCTGACACTCATCAATAAGGCTTGCCTGAAACCTAATGGGAAGTGTGTGCACTGCAGTGGTTATTCAATTAATTTATCTAGTTTAATTTTATTACAGCTTGATTCCACAGAGTATTTTGGTACAAGTATGGAATTTTGAGCATATGAGATATCGGTAGCCCAAATTTAGCAGGCCGACCATTGACATCAGGTGTGCGTCGGCCGGGAATCGAACCCCGGGCCACTTGTATGGTTAGCGAGTGTCCTAACCACTGTGCCACTAGCTTAATGACTTGACTGGTAGAATCTAGTCGACAGTCAATGTCAAGGACGATGTGCACATGATACTGACGACCAGTTGTCATTAGGTTCACTTCATCTACAATCAGCTGTGATTTTTAGGTATCTATGTTTACATATATATAAAATGCAGATCTGAACAAGTAAACAGACAGAATGTTTAAAAAAATGAACAAACTTACCAGAAAAATAGAGAACTAGGAATGTATACTTGAAAGTAATTCACTTGTAATATAAATATGAATGTTTTATATCCCACCGGATAGACAAATTTGTTTCACTGAAAAATTGCCTGTAATAATAATAAACAGTTCAGTGTGGTGTGTGTATGTGTGTGTGTGAGTGAGTGTGTAATAGGAGAAAGAAAAGTTGCTTTTTTAAATATTCAACCTAGGAAAATTATGCATTTGTTGTCTGGTCATTTGTTCTGAAGGTTTAATTGTATTTTTAGGTGAAAAGGTAATAATTCCATATTGTTCATTTATACTACTATCATCAATGTTTTTAGTAGTATGATCATGACCATTGACTAACGGTGGTGGTGTAACAGAACTGTCAAGTAAACCATTACAGTTAATCACATTGTGTTTCATCTCTCCAGCATCCTTTATAGGCGATGAAGATGATAAGGGTAGATAAGATTCAGTAGTGATAATTATACCCGCTCCACTGTCCACTCCACTATCACTACCACCTGTACTGTTGTTGTTGTTGTTGTTATGATTGCCGAGGATAACAGTATTGGGAAGATTACTAGAAGTACTACCAATATTGATCATTTGTGATGCATTTTTACCATATAAATCTATCCTATTCACGAATGGATCTATGCGTACAAGATTTGGAACTTGTGCATCTGATGCATTAATCATCAATGGAGTTGTTGTACTGGTAACAGTTTGATGCAGATTACAATACTTTCCCATGGTTGACATCCATTCATTCCTATCAATTGTATTACGATTAGTAGTCATACCGTTGTAGGCATCATTTGATTCACTCATATGAATAGGATATAAGTGTATTGCTGACTGATTATTATCTTCACTGCTGTAACAGGGTTGCATGTAACCAGGCAGCTTTTGATTCGTGCTGTTAATCAGAGTTCCTGTCAGCATTGTCCCACCACAGTATCCTCCAGATGTTGTATAATCTGTAGGAACGCAACAGTCAAACATCGTTTCATTCCACTTTGAATGAGTGGCTAAAACATCCGGTGAGATAAATGTTGAACCGTTAGAATTTATGTATGCTTTTTCGTATCTTATATCGCCTACAGGTGATAAACTCCCTGAATGATAGAATTCACAGTTCATATTAGGATTATGAGGATCTGTAGTAATCAGTGTGCCCTGTTTATATGCCCCGTTCGATGTAGGTCTTGACATCTGATTGTCTGATCTGAAACGTACCCATAAAATGGCTGCGGTTAAGCTGATTATCAGTGCTAGACTGCAAACAATAATTAATATTAATATTATTGTATTACTCATGTTTGAGTCATGCAGTGTCCAAAAGCCAAAATGATCACCGATTGGTTCACTGATATTTACATAGAAGATGGCCTCAGTGGTATGTTGTGGTTCACCTTTATCTTTTAGATTCACAGAGATTAAATATAATCCAGGCGTTGGTTGACCTCTTGATTTTAAGCGCTTTGTCAATTTGTTTTTCTTGTCGTAAGTTCTATCTATGGAAGATTTACCGGAATGAGATTTATTTGAGTTCGTTGAGTGTTTTCTACTAATTGAAGCAGAAGTCTCCACTTCTTTCATATCATTACCCCAAAAGGTTGTTAGCTGACCTGTTTGTTCATCGATTGTAAAATAAAAGAAACCATCGTGAATTTTAACAAATTTCTCATTTTCAGTGCTCTTATCCTCTACTTTAGTGATACTTTTACTATTTTTAATACGACCGGAATACTTCCCGTCTAAACTACCTGTGTGATGTTGTTCGGCGGGTTGTTTCATGATTTGTTGTTGCAAATGATACACTTTACTTGGTACTACAGAATAGATTACTGTACCATTCTCCCCAGCATCTGGATCCTTTCCACGTATAGTTGCAATCAATGTACCAAATGGTGTATCTGCTGGAACTGTCGATGTAGACAAACTATTCAACCAACCAGAACTTTCAGACATACCAAATAGCAGACTTGCATTTCTTGGATATAACAGTTGTGGTTCATTATCGTTAGTATCATCAACAAATATTGTCAGAGTGGTTGTACTCGTTTGACTAACCACTTTCCCATGATCAAAAGCTATCAGCGTTAAAATAAACTGAGCTTGATTCTCTCGATCCAATGGACCAGAAACTATTAATCTTAACTTATTGTCTACAGTAATAAAAGAACTTTGACTGCCTTCATTGTCATGATGATAGGGCGCATATTTATCTTGTAGTAGTTTTGATGAATATAAAGACGACCTGTCCAATAGTTTCACTGTAATTGTTGAATTCTCTTCTAAATCTGGATCAATATAATTCAATCGATTCAATATTTCAGTGCCAATAGGAAAATTCTCTTCAACATGTATCTCCAATGGTCCAATATACTTTGGTGCATTGTCATTTACATCGAGTAGATGAATTTTTAAACTTGTAGTGTTTGTTTTAATTGACAGTTTAAGATTTGAATTCTCTCTTTCATTATGATAAGCAACGCTACCGCCTTCCCCACCATCACAATCTGTTACGGTAACTAGAAAATTCAATACACTGATTAATTCTCTATCCAACAAACCACTTGTATACAAGATACCTGTTTTTGAATCGATTTTAATTAAATTAAGCAGGTCTAAATTGTCTGACATTAATTCATACACTAATTTCCCATTAATACCTGAGTCTAAATCTGTAGCATAAATCTGACCAATCTGTGTATTTATTGGTACATTTTCATACAGGTAAAAGGCATAATTCGTTTGATTAAACTGTGGCCAGTTATCATTCAAGTCACCCAGTGGGATTTCAAACCATTTTTTAATCAATTTTGGCGGTTCAGCTAAATCATGACATTGTATACCAGCCAGCAGGTTGCCATTCGCGTTTGTATCCTTTTCATAGTCGAATTCACGTTGATTTAACAAGCCATAAGCATAATTTGAATAAGAAATTAAGCGAAAATTTTTACGATTTTCTTTTTCATCAATCAACTGGCAAGTGATTTTATTCACTGAACAATTGTCTTTATCTTTGATAGATAATAAACGTAATAGTTGAGAATTGGGATTATTTTCATACAGTAGAGGTAGATCATTGCCAGCCTCTTGAGTGTATCCTTCATTGTAGCCCGTTGTATTCGATTGTGTCTGTTGCATTTCAATCTCTGGATCATTATCGTTTATATCCAGTAAATTAACTGTAAAACTAAGACTAGACGTTAGCCTAGGCAAACCGTTATCTACGGCTTGTATAAGCATTACAACTTTACGCTCATATTCATTTTCATAATCCAATTCACTGGACACTCTCAGTTCACCATTCACTGGGTTCAGAGTGTACTTTGAAACAATCGATTGAACAGTCTGTTGACTTAAATCACCATAGATAGCATTCCAGTCAATCCAATAGGTGACATTGCCATTTTCCCCATCATCTAAATCAACTGTATGGAAGTGGAAAATTTTAGTGCCAACTGTTGTATTTTCCATAATGTAGATACTCGCACTACTGCTACTGCCATCAACATCATGAGTAGTATCTGTGGATAAGTTAAAAAATTTCGGAGCATTATCATTTACATCAGTTATTTTCACATGTAACATGATAGCAGACTGCAGAGGTGGTTGACCATTATCTTGAACAATTAGACGATAAAAGTATATTGATTTTTCTTCACGATCTAATTGTTGATCAACTTGAAGTTGTGGTGATCCTACCACACTCGCTTTAGAAGCGACACCTCCACCAGGACTTTGTACACCATTAATCAGTGTAAATGGTGATTCTAAGCTTGATAAGTGTTTATTTCGTCTTCTTATATTGTTATTATCATTATTGTTATCGTGGCCAGTCTGTTTATCGATTAGTTGTAGCTGATACTGTTTAATTCCAAACCGTGGTGAATCTAAGTCTGTAGCCATAGGCAATGAATACCTACTGCCCACTGACGCTGACTCTGGTATATTCAGCTCATAAATACTTAAGTCTGCATATTTTCCTACATTATAACCTTCATTACTTTTAATATTCGTCTTTGGAAATAAGGGTGCATTGTCATTTTCATCAGCAATGAATACTGTGATATGAATTTTAATCGGTGTAGGATTTGTACTGAATAAATAGGCTTCAATATTTACCTGACAATAGTCTAAATGACAACAATCTAACCGATGACATATTATATCACGATCAATAAAATCACGTGTATACAAATCACCTTGTGTTGTTAAATGGAAATATGTGTCAGGGACTAACATGGAACGTAGAAATTTATACTGTCTTCCAGTTTGATATTCTTTCATATAATTTCCAGTTAAGATATTTCCAACTAAATAATTCGCTGATGTATTATCATTTAGGTGAAGTTGAATACGATGTTTCATGTTTGATGATGATGTTGACGAGGCATCATTTTTATTAATATTTTCAATGTCCAACAGATTTGTTTCACATTTAAGTGTTAACCAAAGTGTTGAGAAGTAAATACATTCAATAATGAAGGGTAATATAAACATATTTATGGAATGCATGATTGTTTTGATTGTTATTAATAATAATATTAATAATTTTTTCTTTGAAACCGAGTTTTTCTGAGGTATAATTCATTAATATACATTAAAATAAACATGGATTGTGTGAATGCAATGGTTCTTGCAAATAATTACATTTGGAATGTGAAAATTATCAATGTTTTATTTTTTGTTTAAATGCTGTCCACGCGCTATGGGCGCTTCATTTAAATGATCGATTGATCGATAGGCATAATCAAAATTTTCTTTCAGTGTACATTTCAACTTTGCACCTTATTAGTTGTTTTTATTATTTGATAACATTTTGCAATGATACACAGAGACAGTGGGATATGCAATCCATGTGATGAGTAGAGAGGGTTTCATGAACAAAAATAAAATAACAAACGTGTGAGACAATAATTGACCAGTTATAAACTCTAAAAGGAAGAAAATAATCATAATAATTATACTAATAAAAATCCCCTCTAAGAAGAGCTGAAGGCTTATAGAGTAAGAAGTTCGACTGACACATCACAAATGAACACATCGCCATGCACATGTTGTTTGTTGGCTACATTATTATATTAACACACGAGACAGTAGGGAATGAAATAGGTGAGAGTACAAAACATGCAGCAATCATTCGTTATTCTGTTGTTGTTGTTGTTTTTTGTCTTTTTATTGGTATGATGATTATTGTTATTATCAGTTTATTCTGTACTGTTGTATCCGTTTTTTTTTTTTACTTCTAATGGATTGAGATTTTTCATACATGAGTTGAAAAAAAAAACACTAATGAAAAAGCAAGGATGTTGAACATTGAAAAGTCTCAAGCTTTTCTATCAAACTGATTGGTTGACTGGTATGTGTACATCTATTATTTTGCTACCTGTATATCATATGAACCAATCAGATGAAAGTATGACTGATTTTTAAAAACAAAACTTGTTTTGTCAGTTTGGTTCTCTTTAGTTTATTTTTTTTAAGCTCTGTTTGTAAGAATTTTCACACTTCACTTCCTACATGTACAATTATTATTTTATATTTGTCTTCAGCAACTTGGCTGTGTTGAAATGTGAAATAAGAAGCCTTATTTATCAAAAAGCCGGCTTAAATATAAGAAAGGGTCGATGAATCATCGGTAGAATGTTTGTTATCAATGTCTCACACGGTGTGGGGTTCTGCTGCCAGCCGATGCACACTCCTTAACCTTGATTAGGTGGTAAAAAGATCAATGAAGAGTGAACGTTCGGCGTGGGGCTGACAATCCCACCTCCGCAAAAAAATAAACACCACTGCTACTGAAATTGCGATACTCAAGCTTGAATTTCTATTTTCCCTTCGGAATGCAATGGAATAAAATAAATTATAAATTACAATGAACGTAAAATGAACACAGAATGCAAATCATCATCTCAACTCTTCACTTTCAAATAAATCTGAAGATGTAATCGGAATTTTTTCAGGATAATTGTTTGGGGCTGTCTATTATGCCTTTTTAACAGTACAATACTCTTTCCGAAAGAAAAATATTGCTGCCATAATCCCAAAAACTTTATGTGTACGAGTTGATCACGGATTGATATCATTTAGAGAACCATTGAAAACCAGGGACAGCTGTTTCATCCTAGTTTGGGAATCATAGGCAGTACGCACACACAGCCAGGGTTCGAATCCAAGACTTTCCAGTTACAAGGCAAGCTCGTATACCATTCAGCCACTGGGACCCGACTCCTCAATGGCCAGCCCATGAATTCTAACTTCTACCAATTCGCGATTTAGCGCGACCCCAACCAATGTCGTCAGTGGGATATCCATCCTCACACTTGACATTTAAATGGACCTCACTGGTCACGACTTCTCACTAGAACTAACTCCAGGAAACTCCATCCTGTAGCAAGTCACTAGCGAGCATCAGATTAATTTTCTATGATTGGTTTGTAGGGATTAGATTTGATTTGACGAGTTGATCATGGATTGATATCAGTTAGAGAACCATTGAAAACCAGCAGGGAGTACTGGACAGCTGTTTCATCCTAGTGACGAAGGCTTTCTCATCACCTACGGTAACCTATATGTGACAATAATTGTCTTCTCTAAACCTCACAGTTTCATTCCTAGTTTAACAGTTTCTGTCGGTAGAAGTTGGACAATGCGATACATGTGAATTATGATCGTGTAGACAGAGAGTGAGCTAGCTGTTGTAATGTCTGAATGTTTCACGCATCATACGATATGAACGAAATAGTCATATCCCACAATGGTAACTTTCTTCAAAATAGCTAACTGATTTTAAACGCTTCACTGGCAGTGTTATGGTACCTTCTTCACAAAACGTTCTAAACTCCATCCATTGAATTCATTCAGCTAGTCTCTTATTTCAATAAACACAGTATGAATGCGACTGAAAGAATTCGATCAGCATCAGGGTGTAGGCAGTGTGCCAAAGACTACTCTTTATTGACTTATCTATGTATTTCTTTCACGCTAAAGGGTCTGAATCTCTACAGAATCATAAATTCTTCTGAGACTGTTAAGAAGTCTTGTCAGCGTATGCCAACACTCAGAGTTTCCTTCCAAATGCTTCTAACTAGCCAATTTAATAGCCTTTCCAATCATGTGTTACTACATTTAAGTGGTGAATGGTGACTAGCAGTGGAATCCAGGATGCACATTTCGTCCTATTTGGGATTCGTCATCTGGATGTACCTTCATTTCTCGGTGAGTGATGATGTTCCCACCGAGGCTCGAATCCCGTGCCCATAGTTCCAAACTCCAAAGCGTTATCCACTAGACCACTTGGGCCACGAGAACCACCTCTTGTGCAACGGGTCATATTGATCTAATTGAATATTAGATTTTCTCGTCGACTGATACTAATTAAATGCCCAGACATCGTCGAAGCATCTGCTCAAGAAACCGACATGTCAACCTGAGACCGAGCACTTCGGTCCGGTCAATCGATGGGAAAATCTTAAATTCAATTAGATGTTACTACAGTTAAGAAAATCACCCTTGAAAATAAATACTCCATTATTGTTGATTCCTATTGAAACAATGCCTGTTTCTTTTATAAAACAGTGTTTAGATGAAGACTGAATCAGTGTTTAGTTGTTTTTTTTATGTCTCCACTTCAATTTTTTCAAGTTTCAACTTTTCACCCTTGTCTAGCCTCCTTCTTCTTGATAAAATGACCTTTTTATTAGGATTTTACAATGGGCAATTAAAAAATTTCTCAAAGGCTATATATATTTCGTCTGAAACATAAAGGTTTTATTAAGTAAACAGTGTGATTTATTTAGGCTGTCAAGTTTCAAACTACATTTAAGAATCGTTATTGCTTCATACATCTGCTATGAATGGTGGACTATAGTGGGCTATCTTAATGATACCATATGATATTTTTTAATATAGATCCTTTTAATTGAAAATGAACCGTTGAAGACTGTGTTAGAACTCTATCCTAGTAGGAGACCATTATTAGTGAGACATTAAAAGCTACCTTACGTAAGTATAGATTGTTAAGAACGAAAAATACTGGGATTAAAGACTGCATCAGGGTGTTTTGACAGTGCTTAAAATAATTAATCTCATTAAAACGGAGTTTATGTGAAAAATGAAAATGTGATGCATTTTATTCGGCGGTTCAGTGGAAAACGCTTGTCAACCAAACAACAGGTTCAGGTTCGATTCCCAGATGACGTACTCCTAAATGCCATCGAGTTTACCAGCCGGTCTAGTAATCTCATGAAAGAGAGAGAGAGATGGTTGACTGTAAGGCTGAGAGTGTCATCCTGTGAAAACAAACTGAGGACTACCGAAATTTCAGAAGTTTGATATCTTGTATTCTATGCAGAACTCAAGAAATGGAAAACATTTGCTCGACACATTTCAAATCATTTCATCAATTTAGTGTATAAGACTGATGGTGAAAAAGGTGACAGTTGACACTACAACTAGTTACATAATCATATAAGTATTATCATGGAAGGCTGAGGGTAACAATAAGTTGCTTTTGTACGGATAGTTTACGTCATAGCGTATTTCACTATACACCCTTGACAGTATTTTTAAAAATCCTTGAAAGCTTGTTTTGCAATAGACGAGGTTGACAGTAGGCCACCTGCGTTTGTCTAGGCTTCGAAGTTCAGTTATTTTTCAAACCATTTGAGTATATGCTCACTTGACCTTAGGAACAAGGAGTGATTATTCCTCCCTATATATACATATATGTTTTTCAGATGTAAACCTTTATACATAATCACTGGTACCATGTTTAGGCCTGTTGTAAAGTGTGTTTTTGGTTTTTTCCAAGATTAGAAGCTGGACTGTATTGTAAGTCTTACAGATGACAGATATATCATAAGTCTTAATTATAGGTACATTAGTAAGCAAGAGGTTAACATCAAAGTTATCATTTCCTTAACTTTTGTATTCGCGCTCACATGACAGCTAACAAGTTAACTTGGTTACAGGACTTCATCATGAGCTGACAATAGTTAGAGAAGCATTGGAAAACCTGGAAGTACTAGACAGCTGTTTCGGCCTAGTTTGGAACTCTTCATCAGTATGGACCTGCCAGGATTCGAACCCAGGACCTCCTGGTAACCAGAATGTCATGATGAAGTCCTGTAGCCAATCAAATCCCTACAAACCAACATTTGAATAACAAGTTAACTCCTGTGAAAAGACAACTTGGTTATCAAATTATCAGCTACATTTTCAACATAAGACATGCATGCATCAGCTAACAATGGTCCCAGTGGACTAATCATAGCAACCAAATCTACTAGTCAAAAGCGCTCACCTTTAAGATTGAAATGAACTTTGTCAGTATGCAATAATAGTAATTCTTTGATATATATATATATATCAGGGTTAGAGAATGAAAGATTACTAGAAGATATGCGATCAAAAAGAATATAAACAATCTTAATTAAAGGTATGTTAGTAAACAAAGAATCAACTTGTTGACATGATTATTAAAGATAAGAAACTGAACTCTTTGATGTTAACCCTTTGTTTACTAATATACTACTTAATTACGATTGTTGATGCTCCATATGACTACATATCTGTTATCCGTAAGAGTTACTATGTAACCTGGCTTATAATTATCTAAAAAGTCAAGAAACATACTCTACAATATGCTCTACCGACATCACACGAGTAATCACATCACATCTAATACTGTTTACCAATTCGCATATGGCTGTGGACATATTTATACTGAGGAGTAATCGAACATTGCACACTAGTGTGGGAGAATATATATACTCAAATGGCATGGGAAATAATTGAACCGTGAAACCTCAATAAACGCAGGCAGCTGACTGCCAACCTTGTTATGTGCATAAAACACTTAATAGACGTGAATTACAACACTTATGGCAAAACAGCTGTCAAAGTTGTCTATAAAGGCCCTCAGCGATGCATCTAGAAGTACACTGAAGTGGCAGACATCCTTAAAATGTACTGTCTTACCTGACTATATTACCACGAATAGTGTTAATCATCATTCTTCACATTCTTAAATCCCTTAAAGTTTCGTTTACTGAATTTCGCATTTCATTTTTTTCCACTTTCCGTATAAATTGAGTTGACAAGCAAATATACAGTCAAATCGTTCGAAATGATTTATTGCGCCAATTCATCACATTTTTCAGATGAACTTCTAGCATTGTAGTTCTAATATCTTCAACGAATAAGCCAATGGAGTGTATGTCTGTTAGCCAATGGTAAAACCAGTAAATACGGGAAGGTTGAGA